GGCAGTGGTGGGGACCGTGGGGAAAGTGGGGAGAGTGGGACCGTGGTGTGACAATGGTGGGGAGAGTGGGGACATTGACACACTGGTGAGGGCACTGGTGGGGACAGCGGGGACAATGGGGGGGACAGTGGGGACAGTGGGACAGTGGTGGGGACGGTGGTGGTGGGGACAGTGGTGTAGGGACAATGGGAATGTGGTGGAAACAGTGGGACAGTGGAGGGTACACAGGTGGTGGGATCACTGGTGAGGGCGGTGGCCAGGACGGCGGTGGGACAATGGGACACAGGTACAGTCGGGACAGTGGTGGGGACAGTGGGGACCAGTGGTGGGACCAGTGGGACAGGTCAGTGGGACAGCGGAGGAGACAGTGGGACAGTGGGGACAGTAGGGATAGTCGAGCTCTGGTTGGGGCCGTGGAGAAAGTGTGGAGAGTGGAGCCGCGGTGGGAACAGTGGTGGGGACAGTGGGGACAGTGCGACAGTGGTGGGGGCACTGGTGGGGACAGTAGGGACGGTGGTGGAACCAGTGGGGACAGTGGTGGTGAGGACAGTGGTGCTTGGGAACAGCAGTGGGGGATGTGGTGCGGACGGTTGTAGGGACCGGGAGTCGTTTGCTGGCGGTGACGGGGGGGGGCGGGGTTTGAACCGGCAGTGACCCCCCCCGGTTTTCGAGGAGAAAGGGGGGGGGGAGCGGGGGTTCGAACCGGTAGTGACCCCCCCCGGTTTTCGAAGAGGAGGCCCTAGTGTAACCAAATCATATGGTTACGCTCGAAACTGTTGCGCGTAACCAAAACGCGAAGAATTTGGTTACGACCGACCCCTCACACACTTGAGCCATCAAAATGCATTCAACACCCCCGTAACCAAAATCTTCCCGGCAAGATGTTCGCATAACCAAATCGTAACCATATTTTCAATTTTCGTAACCAAATCATATCCAAATTGCACAATTCGTAACCAAATCATAACCAAATCGTAACCATATCATAACAAAATCATAACCAAACCGTAAGTACATCGAAACGACCATGTTCGACATTGCCGATGGGGCTGAAGATGGGGGCGGGCGGAGCAGGGGGGAGTCTGCCAAGCTGGTAGAGCAGGAGGAGGAGGAATAGGAGGATGAGGAGGAGGAGGACGGAAGCACGGTGAGAGCACGAGGACTCAGGAGTAATATTGACGCATTGATGGTTCGACGCGGGGGTTGAAGATCAGAGGGAGGAGGCTTGGAAGAAGAATTTGAGGGAGGCCGAAACAGACGGGGGCGATAATGAGGCTTGCAGGAAGTATCACAGGAATGGCAGGGCAGGAGGAGGCTTGGAGGGGAGGAGGCAGCTTGGAGAGGGAGGCTCTGAAGAAGGACTAGGTGCGGGAATACATGATTGAAACTTGGCGGTGCTAAGGGGGCGAAGGAAGAATATGAGGAGTGTGGATTTCAAAGAGGCGACTTACGCGGGGGGTCTGCACGGAAGAGGCATAAGATATGGTGGAGGGCTCTGTTTGGGTGGGTGCTAGACACGTGGGGACAAGCTCGGATCAATGTTTGACGAGAGGGCTCTGGCACGGGGTAGGGGCGGCGAGACATCGGAGAGGTTCGGAGGGAGGAAGGAGGGAATCACTATGTAACACGGTGTGTGTACGGACGGGCCCACCAGGGAGCTCTTATCCAGCGGTGAGCCCTCCTACGCATTCCTACGCACTCCTCCTACGCATCCCCCCCCCGCGACTTAGCTCTTACGCACTCCTCGTGTTCCTCCTCCTCTCCTCCTCTTCCTCCGCCTCCTCCCCCCCCTTGCTACATACTCCTCCTCGCTCCTCCTCATCCTTCGTCCCGCGAGTGCGTCCGCATGGAGCCGTCCCCGTGTCGGCACTCCCCTCTCGAGGATCGCGCCTCATAGGGAACTCTACCCGTGGCACCAACAGGTGCGTCCGTTCCCTATTTCAGCATACTCTTCATAGGATCGTGCCTCATAGGGAACTCCAGCTATGGCCTCAGCGGGTGTGTCCGGATGGCGCCGCCGTCCCCGTGTCGGCACATTTTCCATGAGGCTCGTGCCCCTCGTGGGTCTCCACCTATAGCCTATGGCCCTAGCCAGTGCGTCCGCATGGCGCCGCCGCTCCCAAATCTGCCCCGTAGGGCTTGGGCGTCCCAATGGGATTTATTCCGTGCATACGCTTTCCCCGCCAATTGCGGCACAACCCTCACGCGAGGCGTGCCACATGGGAACCCTCACCTAGCCGCCCACTGGTTGTGCTGGCATGGCGTTCCTGCCCATGTCGGCACACCCTTCACGCGGAGCGTGCCCCTCAGGGAATTCCACCAATGGCTTGAATGAAAATGCTCGCACGGCGCTGCCGCCCCCATTTCAGCACACCCCTTACGTGGATCGCTTCCTCAGGAAGCTCCACTTCTTGCCTTGTCGGGCGTGACCACATGTACCCCCGTCGATTTCAGCACTTTCCTCACAAGTACTTTGCCCCACAGCAAGTTCGGCGCCCTCCTGCCCACCTCGTCGGCAGCTCCCGATCCTGACTGCCCTGCGGCTCGCATCGTAAAAAGAACATGCCATGCTCCACGTCACATGCAGCTGCATCAGGCTTGGCTCTTCGCAAGACTAACTATCCCGCTGCCTACGGCAAGTCCCGCCACCGCGCCTGGGTTGTAGGTTGTAGACCTCTTGGATGTTCGCTGGGATATCGTGGGGGGCCTCTCGGGGCCCTGTTGGATGCAGTTTGCAGGCTTCTTGGGGGCCTCTTGGGGGCCTCTTCACGGGCTTCATGTTGGCCTCTTGGGGGGGCCTCTTGGGGGTCTCCTGGGGCTTCCTGGAGGCCTCTTGGGGCCTCCTGGGGTATTGGAGGGTCTTTGCAGGAGGCTTTGCAAAGTATTGCAGGGTCTTTGCAAGGTCTTTTTAGGGTTTTTGTATGGTCTTTACAGGGGGGGGTGCATGGTCTTTGCAAGGTCCTTGCAGGGGGGTGGTGCAGTCGCCTGTCCGCGTCCCGCGGAGGGGGGTCCTTTAGAAGACGACAGAAACCCTCCCAGTCAGCGCTTGGGCACATCATCCGTTTCCACGACGGACCCCCTTTAGCAAAATCGTAACCAAATCGTAACCATATGGAGTAACCGAATCGTGACCAAATTTGATATAGCGTAACCAAATCGTAACCAAATTTGATATTTTCATCACCAAATCAAAACCAAATCACACTTTGTAATCAAATTGCGCGCAACCAAATCAAAACAATGCACCCCTTTCATACGAACTTGGCTCGACAAGAAGCCGATTTGGTTACGCACGTGCACGCAACACACCACTGTAAATTACACTACTTTGGGCGCGTGATTTGGTTACGATGTCTTGTCTTCTAGGGGGGGGGAGGGGGTTCGAACCGGTAGTGACCCCCCCCCCTCGGTTTTCGAGGGGGGGGGGTCGAACCGGGACCCCCCTCCGTTTTCTGGAGGGGGGTGGGGGGTTCGAACCAGTAATGACCTTCCTCTGGGGGGTTCGAACCGGCAGTGACCCCCCTCGGTTTTCCGGGGGGGGGTGTTCGGGGAGGGACGGGGGTTTTCCCGGGGGGAGGGGTGGGGGTGGCGGGGGGGAGGTTCCAGCAGGGGGGGGGGGGATTTTCGGAGGGGGGGGGCCCCCGGGTTCCGGAGGAAGAGGGGGAGAATTTTCCGCAGTAAAGCGGCGGTGGATCACGCTCTCTTCCACACGTTCTGTGGGTCTCCGAAGTGCTGCCAGCAGAGCGTCGGCATGACGCCAGAAGCCAGAGCCAGAAGCACGAGCTGGTCTTCGGTGCTCGCCCACGTCTCCTCCAGCCGTCGCCTGGCGAGGAAGATGGCGGCCGCGGCGTCGTGGCGCGATTTGAAACCAAACAGGGCACTCCAGATGCGACCCTCGGCGCTCGGCGCCGGCGTCTTTCAAGCGGCGGAGGGGGAGAGTCGCAAACCAGAAATACCCAGCCTGGAGCCAGCAGACTGGTCTGTAGTTGCTGCCGAGCGTAACGTCTCCCTTCTTGAGTAGATCAATCGCAAAAGAATTGTGCCGAGAATCTGGCACGGCGCCCTGGTTCTAACATTGGCGGCACAATGCTAACGCTCGCGCCGAGGTGCAAGGGGCGCAAACCGCTTTCCAAAAGTCGCCGGGGATGTCGTCACTTCTACAGGCTCTGTCCCACTTCATGCGTTTGGCTTCCTCGGTCACCTCCCGTCCTTCGATCTGCCCCAGGTTCACCGGCAAGTCGGGGTCAAGTGACGTCGGCAACATCGGCGTGGTTTCCCGCTCTGCCCAGTGCCCCTCCGCCAAAAAGTCCACCAGCGTGTCCGCACGGGCCTCGGAATGGGTGTGCCAAAATGAGCAGCGCGGGCGCATGCAGACACACCCAGTGTTGCTTTAGATGGAGCTCATTTCTATGGGGGACGAAACGTCTGAGGGGTGTGCCGAAATGGGCGCGGTGGTGGCATGCGAGCGCCGCCACTGGTGGAGCTCCCTCTGGGTGCCGACATGGGCATGCGGAGGGCAAATGCAGAGATGGGAAGAGGGAGGGACGAAAGCGGGAGTGATGGGAGGAGGGAAGAGGGGGAGGCAGAGAAGAAGAGGACGTGTGCCGCTGTCTCTTCATATTTTGTCGAAGATCCAGCATCACAAGATGGTTGGGAACAAACAGCGACAAGAACCCTGGCGAAATGGACCCCTGGCGAACTGGTGACAAGAACCGAGCAAAACGAAACCCTGGCAAAGAACCAGGCGAAACGAAAGCCCAGCAAAAAGGCCCCCCTCCATTCGCCCCCTTCCCCCCCAATCCCGCGCAGCTCGATATGGAGGTCACCTGTCCTGCACTCCCCGCCTCATATTTCTCCTCCTTAACGCTTCCCCACATCATGCTGCTTCGCCTGCCTACGCCCCCTCCCACACATCCTCTCCACCACATATCCTTCCTCTTCATCTTTGTCCAATAGCAGGCACTCAGCTCACGGCGCTGCTCACCCACACTCGCAGGCGCCTCTTCGAGTCTGGCTTCTCGCGGGGTCGGTCATCGCTCCGCCTTCGCTCCCTGCTCTTTCTGCCGCCTGCAGGGGCCAGGAGGGGCAGCAACGAGCAGGAATAAGTGCGAGCAAGCGAGCGAGGCCAGCAGAGGTGAACCTGCGTACAAGTCCGACTTTAGAGGGGATGGCGCTGCTGGCGACTAGAAGGGAATACTGAAAGCACGCCTGTGGGACCCGCTTTGGCGGGAGAGGGATCCAGGAGGGAGAACCGAGATGGAGGATCGAAGAGAAAGACCAAGGAGATTCGAAGAGTATCCGACATTTCGTACGTTTTTGTGTCCACTTCATTTCTGCGCATCAAGGTGGTCATACGGGGTCCTCAGAGACCTCCAGTACAATAGACGGTAGAGAATCGAGACAGGCCTTGCTTTCTTTTTCTTGCTGCGACCTTCCGTGGTGCAACTTCGAATGTTCGTGATGTGCTTCCTGCTGGTTGAGCTGGGAAAGCGTGCACTTGCAGACGCAATGTATCATGGAGTTGATTTCGATCGTATCGTTATGAGTATTGTTCTCCTCGAGGTTGAATGTGTCGACACTCCAGACTTGCAATCGCAGGTCGGCTCGGTATTCAGAACTGCCGCAATCGCTACCCAACGTTACCACGCCAGATTACACCTCACAAGGCAGTGCCCGATTCGCACTACGCCGCACCGTCTGCCTGAAGGGCGCCTTATGCAACCGCCGACGCAGCAGCGGAGCCACCTGCGGCGGCCCAGCGACTGAATAGAGTCAACCCCCTTGCGGAGAAGATCCAGCTTCACCGATGTTCGGGTCTGAGCTCGCCCTCCGACGAAGCCGCCGAACTCACGGATCAGACGAGCTGCGGAGAAATGCTCAGCGGGGTATGAGGAGTGCTGCCGCGGCGCCGCATGAAAACCTCTCACCACTAATGAGCACGACCACGACCGCGTGAAGTATCACTGCGCCCCCGTCTCCGCGGCAACAACCATCTGAGTATGAACGGGTCCGAGTTCAAGCGCGAGTGAGTCAGTGAGTGAGGCGGCTGGGTCACACTAAGAGTCATAGACCCGTCTGCAGTACATGGGAAACAAGCATACTTCTCAGACCCCCTCCCTTCCATCCCGCCCCATTCCTCCATCCTTCCTCCCTCGCAGCGGCCGTCACGGCTTCTTTCCCTGCTCTTTCTCTCGCCCTTTGCCTGTAACGGGTCGTGGCGCGGGGGGATGCACATTGCGAGTAGCAAGAGGATACGAGTAGAGGAGGAAGGTGCACATTATCCTGGCGAAGATGACAACCATATGCAGTTGTAAGTACCGACGTTGTGGGTATCACCTTCGGTGGATCTCCTTATGGGGCCACGAAGCGTGAAAAAGGTGTGCCAAAATGAGGCGGGGACGCATGCGGGCGCACCCTTTGGGGCCTTCGGTGGATCCCCTCTTATGGGGCCATGAAGCGCGTGAGGGGTGTGCCGACCTGGGGCCTTTGGTGGAGCTCCCCATGGGGCAACGAGACGCGTGAGGGGTGTCGAAATGGGCGGGGGGAGATACATGTGATCAGAACTACTGGTGCCTTCGGTGAAGCTCCCTATGGGGCCACGGACGCGTGAGGGATGTGCCAAAATGAGCGGGGGGAGACGCATGTTATCACAGCAAAGGGGGCCTTCGGTGGAGCTCCTTGTGGGGCCACGGAAAGGCCTCCTGGGTGGCGCGGGACGCATGTGGTCACAGCCACTGGAGACGTTGGTGGATCTCCCTATGGGTCCACGGGCCGTCGTACCGGGTCTCGCGGGACGCATGTGGTCACAACCACTGGAGCCTTCGGTGGAGCTCCCTATGGGGCCACGAAGCGCCGTACTGGGTGGCGCGGGACGCATGCGGTCTCAGTCATTGGGGCCTTCGGTGGAGCTCCCTCTGAGGCCACGGGACGCCGCACTGGGTTGCGCGGGACGCATGTGGTCAAAACCACTGTGGCCTTCGGTGGAGCCCCCTTTGCGCCACGGAGCGCCGTACTCGGTGGCGCGGGACGCATGTGGTCACAACCACTTGGGTTCTCTGTAGATCTACCCATGGGACCACGAAGCGCCGTACTGGGTGGCGCGGGACGCATCTGGTCACAACCACCGGAGACTTCGGTAGATCTCCCCATGGGGCCACGGAATGCCGTACCGTGTGGCGCGGACTGCATGTGGTCACACCCACTGGGGCCTTTGATCGAGCTCCCAGTTGGACCACGGAGCGCCGTACTGGGTGGCGCGGGACGCATGTGGTCACAACCACTGTGGCCTCCGGTGGAGCTCCCTCCGAAGCCATGAAATGCCGTACTAGGTGGCGCGGGACGCATGTGGCCAGGTCAGAGCCAATGGAGCCTTCGGTGGAGCTCCCTCTGGGGCCACGGAACGCCGTACTGGGTGGCGCGGGACCAATGTGGTCACAACCACTGGGGCCTTCTGTGGGGCTCCCCTGGAGGCCACGGAACGCCGTACTGGGTGGCGCGGGACGCACGTGGTCACAGCCACTGGGGCCTTCGGTGGGGCTCCCAATGGGGCCACAGAACGCCGTACTCGGTGATGCGGGACCCATGTGGTCACAGCCACTGGAGCCTTCCGTGGAGCTCCCCATGGGGCCACGGAGCGACATACTGGCTGCGCTGAAATGGTGGACATGCAGAGGGCAGAGGCAAGGAGGGTAGGAGGAGGGAAGGAGGAGGATGAGGAACGCGGAGCACCCTTCTCAAAACGGAGACCCAACACCACAGGATGGTTGGAAAAAACTAAACCAAAGAGGGCGAAGAAGAGGGGGGGAATGACACTGCAAGGAGGTTGCTGGGAGGGACGTGAGAAGGCGGGACCAGGAGATGGGACATGGTCAACGTTCTCCGCAAGGCTCCTGATACGCATTGCACGCTTGCATGCATGGAGTACTAGGGCTTCCAGCTGGCGCCGAACTCGCTCCTAATTGGCCACCTGATCTTCAGAACGATCAGGAATTAGTGTGCCCGCGAACACTCGTTCCACATCTTCGGGGATACATCGGAAAGAAAACTGCGTGTCCTGCGGACACGCGGACGTAATCAAGTTTACAGAAATCTCAACCGCCTTTTAATTCGCCAACGTCTCCGCAAAGAAACAGTGAAGACCTGTACTGGACCTGATCTGGGCGATGTCCGGGACACCTTGAAGAGCCGCGGCGTTGCCGGCGAGAGGGATCCCACAGGACTGAGCAAGGCTCACCTCAACACCGAATGCTGCAAATGATATCAGCCACCACCCTAACATGGCCTCAGTGGTCCGTCTGTCTTTGACGCCTGGGGGCCCGCCCAAGACGCTGCCAAGACGCCAAAGATCGCGGGAGGAGTCTGAAGGGTTAACTGACCCTGTAGGGCTAACCGAAGGGGTCCCCTGCAGTCGCCTCCCTCAAGAGGGCCCACCGAGGCCTCCAGAAGGCCATGACGGCCCCTGGAGCCCGCCCCCCCCCAAAAAACAATTGCCCCTGGAGCCACCCCTGCTAGATGGCCCCCTGCGTCAAAGTCCTGACCCCTCGCGGTGGCGCGTGCCCGTGTGGAACTGGCGGGCGCGGCGCCATGGGTCCTGGACCGGGGCGGTCTCCAGCGGAGCCGCGCCGATTTACGCAGTCGGCGGGGGGGTGTCGCGAAAAACACTCCCGACGAAGGCCAAGTCTCAACCGTGAACGCTCTGGGTCGGATGGCACCGTGGCGCAGCCGACAGCGCGCAGAGGAGGCAGCAGCCCTTTGCAGGCCGCGGAATGTCAGAAACGCTTCCTGAGGATACGGAAGATCGAAGGCTTGCCTTTTGTAATTTGCATGTTTCTTCGAGCCGCGATAACTCCGCCGATTGTGAAAGTCGGGAGGCTGGAATGAAACAGCAGTGCGCTGCAGCTGGCCGTTGCTTCTGGATCGACTGCCAGCGGCCAGTACAGAACGGCCAGCCCAAGCGAGGAAGCTGGCAGCGCACCAGGATGAGAGGGATCAGACCAGCAAGAGGATGGGTAATCGCTGTGCCCTGCCTGACGCCACGAGCAATGGTACCTCCTGAGGGAGGCAATTGCAAGAGGCGGAGGATACGCCACAAAAATACAGCGAGAAACAGAGAGATATAGGAAACAACTAATGAGTGAGAGAGGAAGGAACCGCTATATGCACACATATGTATATACAAAGAGAGGAAGGGGAAAGAGAGAGAGAGGGGGACGGAGAGAGAGAGAGAGAAGACAAAGCCATACGATAAACAAGTGATGTGCAGAGAGGGAGAGAGAGAGAGAAAAAACAAAAAAGGTGGAGAGACAGACAGAGAGACAAAAGGAGAGACAATGAAGGAAATTAATCACGTATTTATACACGTGTGTATTGTCTACATGTAGATATCACTATGCATATGGTCGCCAGCCACCCGCACCCCCACCCCACCCACGAAAACCAAAACCTTCACTGATCGGTTGCTCGTCGTGGTCCTTCTTCTCCTCATGCTCCTCCTTCTTCTCGTCCTGCCCCGTCCCTCCTCCTCCTCCCCCCCTCCTCCTCATCCTCCTCCTCCTCCTCCCCCCACTGCAACACTGCAGGTCTCCTCCTGCTCCTCCTTGTGCTCCTCCTCCTCCTCGTCCACTTCCTCTTTCTGACATCGCCAAACCACGCATTGACAGCGACTGGCGCCCTCGGTGCAAGGAAACGTTGTGGATGTTGGGTGTGTTTGGTTGTTTGTGCACGGGAAGCAAAGGAGCGCTGCGTATTGTTAATGCGGCGTCGCAGCATTATTCCCTGCACTTCCCAAACCAAACACGCACAGTAGGTGGCGCCCTCGGTGCAACGATACGGTGTGTTCGTTGGTATACGAAACCAGGAATCACTGCGCGCGTGGTGGTTGATTATGGTGTGAAGGCCCCAACTGCTCGCCGCGGTCTTCCCCCAAATACTCGTTCCTGAGCTTGCAGAGCCAAAACCACAAAACAAACGTATTGTTTCCTTGTTTCCCAGGTCAACCCAAACGGCATACAACACAGCGTGTCCGTGTACCGAGGCGACAAACGCTGATTATCATTGGTTTGTTTGGTTGGTCTGGTTTTGGGGGGCACGGAATCACTGCATATGGTTGGGTGACGTGGTTTATTGGGTACTGGGGGCCCAATGCTCCTCCTCCTCCTCCTCCTCCTCCTCCTCCTCCTCCTCTTCCTCCTCCTCTTCCTCCTCCTCCTCTTCCTGCTCCTCCTCCTCCTCTTCCTCGTCCTCCTTCTCCGTTATTTCTCTGTCTCCGTTCCCCCTCTTCCTTCTCCAGGCCCAAACAAATCCTCCTCCTCCTCCTCCTCCTCCTCCTCCCTCCTCCTCCTCCTCTCTCCTCCTCGCCCATCAGCGTTATGTTCCTTCTCCTTGTCGCGCCATCCCGTGTAGCGAATGAAAAAATAAAAAACGAATGTATTGGCACAATATATATATATATAATATATATATATATATCAAAAAAAAAAAAAAAAAAAAAACGTGTGGGGGTCCTCGGCGCCAAAAAACGCAATGTATTGTTATGGAATCGCTTCGCTCACTCCGCAGGGATATGCCGTGCGCCTTGGAAGCCTTTTGGGGGGGCGCGCCGCTGGATGCCCCCAAGGGGGGGGGGACCCCCCCCTCCATTTCCCCGATCCATCGTCGGGGACCCCCCCCCCTCCCCCACTTTCCCGATCCGTCGTCGGGGACACCCCGTCCCCCCCTGTCCTGGTCCGTCGTCGGGGACCCCCCCCCGTCCCTCCCTTTTCAAGAGGGGGGACGGGGGTCCGAACCTCCCCCCCCTTCCCCCCCTCTTGGCCGCCAAATTCGACCCCCCTCAGCCCCCCCTTTCGCCACGGCGCCCCCGGGCTCTGGAACCCGACCCCAGTCACCCTTAGATTTTAATCACCGTTCCGTATTAGTGCACACCCCCTCCCCCAGGCGACCGGGAACCAACCCGAGCCAATGAGGGCCCCCCCCCACCATCCCTTGCAAAAAACAATACAAAACACACTCTGCTTCAAGTTCGGAGCATGCGCAAGGAACCCGATGCGGCCTCCCCCCATTATCCCTGTCAAAAACCAAGCAGAGTACAGTTGGCAGCGGTGGCGGCGGCTGCGGCGGGGGTAGCGGCCGCGGCGGCTGCGGCGGTGGCGGCGGCGGCGGCGGCGGCGGCGGCGGGGGCGGCGGCGGCGGCGCGGCGGCGGCGGCGGCGGCGGCGGCGGCGGGGGGGGCGGCGGCGGCGGCGGCGGCGGGCGGCGGCGGCGGCAGAAGCCGCGGCGGCGGCGGCGATTGCGCCCCCAGCATCTGCCCATTCAAAGACGACTGCTGAATATGCTGAGGCTTGGGCCCGGCTCGGGTGCTACGCATGTGTTGGGAAGGCGGGTGGGAGTGAGCGAGACGGCTTGCGGGCGGGGAGGGCGTCTTGTCCTTACCCTGACCCTAACCCCTAACCCGAATCCCAAACCCTAACCCTAGCCCCAAACAGCACTCACTACTCATTACGCAGCACTCACTACCCACTACTCACTACTTGCTACTCACTACTCACTTCTCACTACTCACGACTCACGACTCCCTATTCACTACCCACTACTCACTACCCACTACCCACTACTCACTACTCCCTACTCCCTACTCCCTACTCCCTACTCACTACTCACTACTTACTACCCACTACCCACTACTCAATACTCACTACTCACTCAACACAACTCGCTACCACTACTCACTACTCACTAATCAGTACTCACTACCCACGAACAACTACCCCCTACTCACTACTCACTTCACTACTCACTACTCACTGCCCGCAACGCACCAGTCACTATCCACTACTCGCTACTCGCTACTCCCTACACATATTCACTACTCACTACTGGCCAAACACTACTCCCGATACACTACTCGCAGACCAACACGCACGACTCACTACGCACTACTCACTATTCACTACTCCCTACCCCCTACTCACTAGTCACTAGTCACTAGTCACTGCTCAGCACTCACTACTCTCTACCCACTACCAACTACTCACGACTCACCACGCACCACTCACCATTCACTACTCTCTACTCGCTACTCACTACTCACTACCAACTACTAGCTACCCACTATTCCCTTGTCATTATTCACTACTCACTATTCCCTACCCAATACTACTCACTAGTCACTACTCGCTACTCCCTACTCGCTACCCGCCACTCCCCACTCACTACGCACTACTGACTGCTCCCTCCTCAATTCCCACTACTCACAACGCCCTACTCGCTACGCGGCACGACTCGCTACTCACTATTCGCTGCTCAGTACTCCCTACTCCCTAACCCCCTACTCATTGCTCACTACTAACTACTTACTACTCACTACTTAATACTCACTACTCACTAGACACAATACCCACTACTCACTACTCACTAATCACTACTCACTACCCACGAACCACTACCCACTACTCATTACTCACACTTCACTACTCACTACTCACTACCCACTAACCACTACCCACTACTCACTACTCACACTTCGCTACTCAGTACTCACTGAACACAACTCACTGCGCACTACCCACTACTCGCTACTCGCTACTCCCTTCACAATACTCACAACTCACCACTCACTACACACTACTCGCTACTCCCTATACCCTAATCGCAACCCAATACGCACGATCCACTACCCACTATTCACTACTCACCACGCACTACTCCCTACTCCCTACTCACTAGTCGCTAGTCACTACTCAGCACTCACTACTCTCTACTCACTACAAACGACTCACCACGCACCACTCACCATTCACTACTCCCTACTCGCTACTCACTACTCACTACCGACTACTAGCTACCCACTATTCCCTTCTTACTACTCACTACTCACTATTCTCACTACTTACTGCTCCACTACTCACATCGCCCTACTCGCAACGCGGCACGACTCGCTACTCACTACTCGCTGCTCACTACTAACTGCCCATTACCCACTACCAACTACCCACTACTCCGTACTCACTACTCATCAAGCACTACTCGCTACTCATTACTCACTACTCACTACTCACTACTATTCTCTCTGTAGTCACTACGCCCCACTCACTACTCACGACTCAATCGATACTCACAACTCACTACTCTCTATGCAGTACCCACTACTCACTACTCACAACTCATTACTCACCACCCACTACTCACTACCCATCACTCATCACTCACTACGCCTTACTCCCTACTCCCTACTCAGTACTCACTACTCATTTCTCCCTGCTCACTACTCTCTACTCACTACTCGCTACTCACTACTTCCTATTCAGTACTTACCACTCACTATTCACTATTTTGTAATTCAATACAAAGCACTCGCTGTTCACGAACCTCTACTCCCCAATCCCTACTCCCGATGCCCTACTCGCTACTCACTATCCACTACTCACTACTCACTACGAACAACTCACTTGCTCCAGAGTGCTCCCTACTCACCTTCTCCAGCGCAGAAAGGAGCAGCGGGAGAAGCTCCCTCCCCCCCTCCCCAGCCCTCTGTTCGGCGCAGAGGGGGGGAGGGGGGGGGTCGAGCCCCCCCTCCTTTTCCAGCGCCAAGGGGGGGCAGGGGGGGGATCCGAGGCTCCTCCCCTCTCAAATGGGCGGGCGGAAGGGGGTGTTTGGAACCGGGGGGGAGGGGGGGGGGTCGAAAATCTCCCCCCCCCCCCCCCTTGAAGGGAGGGAGGGAGGGGGGTTCTGCGAGCACACCTCTCCTTTTCAATTACAGGGTCATCCAGTGGCGCTTTGGCCTTTTGGGGTTTCCTGGGGCCCCTTCGGGCGCAAAACTCGGATTGTCGATTCGTGTTCCCCCTCTTTGGCCCGTCTTGGGGCCGTTGTGGGGTTCTCGCGGGCTGTCTTGGGTGCCTTTTGGGTGGTTTCGGGGCCGTCTCGAGATGTCCTGGGACTTTCTTAGGGGCCTCCTGGGCAGACTTGGGGCGGTGTTGGGGGCCCCTGGGGCCGCCTTGGAGCTTCGGACGCTCGACAAGGCGATGGCGTGAACCACATTGAAGAACACAATCAACATCACTGAGTTTTGTCTTGGTGGACCCTCTTGAGGGACCTCTTGGAGCGCGCTTTGGGTGTACTTGGGGCCGCTGCGGCTGACATGGAGGCAGATTCGGCCATCATCGCAGCTTTGGTGGCCTCCCAGGTCCGTCTCGGAAGCCAGATTGGCATCTGGGACTCACCTTGGGCGTATTGAAGGACGCCTGGAACGCATCCCAACGTTGTGCGTGCGGTGTGGGTAAGAATCGTCAGGGATGATCGTGGTGAGCGGGCAGGAAGAGGACGAGGAGGAGGACGAGGAGGAGGATGAGGATGCGGAGGCTCCTAGATCGCGTCTTGGGGCATTTTGGGGCCAAACTTGATCGTGGACAAGACTCCTGTTAGCCTGTTTGGGAGGCTTCACGGGGTCTATTCGGAGGCCTCTCGGGGGCCTCTTGGCGGTAGTTGTGGGACCTCTTGGCGCCTCTTGGGGGCCTCGTGCGAGCCTCGTTCGGGCTTCTTGCGGCATTCTGGGGGCCTCTCGGGGCCGAGAGCTGCAATGTCCGTTCGTGTCGTCAGGGCCCGCTCTTGGAGCTCTCTTGGGGGCCTCTTGGGCCGTCTTGGAGGGCTCTTCTGCTGTCTTCGAGCCCCCTGAATCTGTTTCGGGGCCCTCTTATAGGCGTCGTGGGCCGTATTCGGGCAATCTTGGGGGGTCTCTTTGGCCGTTTTAGACGCCGGGTAAGACGAGCGAGAACGCCAAAATCATCGAACAACCAACGGAGATCCATTACGTGTTGCCTCTCGAGGGCCTCTTGAGAGGGCTCGTGGTGGCCTCCTCGGGCATTTGAAAGGCGTCCTGGGCCATCTGATAAACCACATTGGGCGTCTTGGACCGCTCGATCGACGACTGAGAGCCCTCTTGAACCGCCTTGGGGTCAGAACAGCCGAACAAACCAGACATACAGAGCGGTTCCTTCCACCGAGCGCGCCACACGCTGTGTATTCTTGGTGCGTGCTGCTACACAGGGGAGGACACGGAACGGAGGAGGAGGAGGATGGGCGAGGGGGAGGAGGACAATGAGGAGGAGGATGGGGAGGAGAAAGAGGAAATGTGCATGGCGGGGGAAGAAAGAGAAATGAGAAAAGACGGAACGGAAAAAGGAGAAAGAGGAGGAGGAATACATTGCCCCCCAAAACCCGAAAACACCAGTACGAAGTGCGTCCTTGTTTCCCACACCAGCAACAAACAACAGACAACAAACAACACACAACAACAACGACAACAAGAACTCCAATAGCAACACCAACGCCAACAACATCCACAACAACAACACCAACAACTGCAGCAACAGCAACAACAACAGCATCATCAACAGCACCAACACCAACAACAACACCAACAGAGATTCCTTGCACCGAGGGTTGCTTCAAAAAGGAGCCGGAAAAAAATGGAAGGGGAGGAACGTGACTGCTTTGTTGGGTTTGGTGGTTTGGGGCGGTGCTGGGGGGGGGGGGGGGGCAAGCATATCTACATATATATATATATACAGGGAGAGAGGGGAAGACAGAGCGAAAGAAAGAGGCAGGTAGAACGAGAAATACATAGAGAGACCTACTTGCTTCTGGGGTTGGGTGGCACCTTGTCTTTGGCCGCGTCATTGTCCTTGTCCTTATCTTTCTCTTTCGATGTGTCTCTGTCTTGATCTTTATTGTTGTCTTTGTCCTTAACCTGTTTAGATGTGCCGTCATCGTCGTCTTTGTCCTTATCTTTGTCTTCCCCATTCTCGTCACCACCACCGTCTGCATCTTTTGACTTGTCTTTCTCATGGCCCTTTTCTTTACCGCTTTTCTTATCTTCGGACTTGCCCTTGTCCTTATCGTCGGCCTCCCCGCGTGGCGACAAGCGACGCTGCTGGGCAACATCTGCGCAATCAAAAACGAGATGCGCAAGAGAATACATCCGCTGTCGACGCCGCATATACTTTCGGTGTGGACCATATGCTAGCAGCAGGCGATGGCGTGTACAACCTTGGCTCCTCGGGGCGCAAGTCTCGAATTCGTCGGTCGAGATCGCACATCGCAGAAAACACCCCCGAGGACAAGACTTCAAATCAGAAACGGTACGGGGAAGTGGAAGGTTGAAAACAACAGGGAGCACGAACAATAGATCTGGCAGGTGGGCGACACTGGGGAGGGACTGCGAAGGTTGCACATTCAAACAATAACACAACACCCTTGTCGACGCTGGCTCGTCGATGTAGCGGGAAGTCTGCATGTACACACAGCACTCGTATTCACACGCTACACCTAACCGTACAGAACATTGGCACGTGCATGTTTACATCGCTGCAGCGAGCAACACGACACACACTTGAAGACGGCGTGTAGGCACGTGGGCGCGCACACAATGACATAGACTCCGATAGACAGAAACATATACCACCCGAAAGAAGCAGGGCAAGGCAAAGAGGGCAGGACAAGGCAAACATCCACACACGAGCACAGGCGAATGGCTTCCGCAGGCCGCCAGGAGAAAAACAAGAAATCCAAGGTCCAACGAAGACATGAAGACATTGCCAATGTGTTTACCACACGAATGCTCACAAACCGAACCCATGTCCGCACTGACTTGTAAGCACGCATTTCCGTGAAAGGCTTAGAGTGGGCGATGAAAGCGAAAACACGGGGGGCAGAGCTCAAGTGTGAATAAATATAGGACTTGCAGTGTGATCAAAGATAGGACTTGCAGAGAGAGACCGAGCACGAGACAGGGCACAGGAAAATCACCCAGGCAGCCGAACAAAATAATCGAGCGAAGGCCAGACTCAAGGAAAGCAGGCAGGATGATAGCGATGCCGACCGACCACGCCGCACCGAAGTTCAACATGTGTGGTACAGTCGTGATTCGTGATTCGTTGCAGAATCCAAGAGGACACAAAACACATGTGAAGGCAACCCCTGCTGCAGACATGAACAGGAGCGCGATAGACAAGACACAAAAACTACCCCAGATGTTGCACGGTCGATTCGCTAATCCGACCCAACTGTAGCCTCTCTCTATTCACGGGAAGCCCCACGGCCACCTCCGATCCTCTCGCAAGCAAGGGGTCGCAAACCGCAGGCCGCGGCGACGAGCTCGCGCGTGGGTGAACTCCGCCGGCGGCGGCAGCAGCCGATGCCAAGCGGCCATTTCCTTGGCAGACTACGTCCAAGCACAGGTGATGCCAAGCGGCCGCCTGGCGCAGCTGAAAGCGCAGCGGTGATGCCAAGCGTCCGCGGCCAAGCGCGCCGCAATGCTACAGCACGCGCGAGCGCGCCGCGGCGCCACGCATCCTGACCTACTGCGAAATGGGTACGCTTCACAGCGGCGTCGCGCGCACTCTGCCTTGCCCTGAGGGCTCTTTCACAGCAGTCGCCAAGACCGCCGTCCGTCGCCACCCTCGAGCCCAGCTTCCACAAGGGCGGACACGCAAAGCAACAGCCGCAAGACACCAAGCAGACGCTGGACAAGACGAGAAAGGACAAAAGGGAAGGTGGGATGGAGACTGGACGGGATAGCACAGCCACGTGCACAGGTGCTTTCAAACATGCACGCGTGTGCGCATGTGGGCGTGCATCCGCGCGCCCGCCATGCACGTCCGAGAGTGGTCTCCTCATGCGGCGAGCGACAGTGTGGCGGCAGCAGCGCAGGATGAAGGACTTGCCCCACCAGTGTCATTTCAGACAAGCACAGCAGCGAACTCCGAGAGGAAATACGAAAGTCGAGCCTTGTCGCCGTATGCCTCTTTTCGTTTTCTCTGCCTTTCCTGGGCTGGTGATGCGGTGTGCGCGGCGGCAGAGAAACGCACCATGTGTTCGAGGGCCCGACCGAGGGAAACTACCAGACAGAATATCCGAGGGTAGTGGCCCCGAGCAGCGGTGCGGGCCTTCCCGACTGGCTCTTGTCAGTAGGGTCTCTGACAAGCCCGGGCCGGCGCAAGCTGGGCCCAATTGTTCCCTGCTGGGACCTGCTCAAACTCAATCCCAAAACACCTCCCACACCCCATCCCGCCAACTTGTTCTAGCTGCGTCCAGCCAGGCTGACGGTGACCCCCCAACCCGTCGGGCACATGGACGCAGGCACAACCACGATAACGGTCTGCACCGTGCACCAGGACGGGTACCGCAGGGTGGTGCCCAGGCGCCCTAAACCGCCTCAACTTGCACAATCTAGGTGAAGCACTGCGTCGATAGAAAGAGTACGCAGTGAATGCGATCTCTTAGTCAGGCTACGAATATGCTGCGGCATCTTTCCAATGAGCACACGCTACGTCATCTGGGGCAAATGTAGATTGCAATGATTATTTGTCAAACCCGCTCCAGCTATCAAGCCAGTCACGACTTCGCAACCATTGCATTCAACAATCCCGTGTTCAGGTCGTGTTGACGTCTCTGAGTGCTCAGATTGGAGTGCTCAGTGAAATGGGTCTTGATTGGAACGTGCCGGGCGGGGGGGGGACTGGCACATGGGGGTGAAGAATATTGGTATAACCAATACGCTGGATGCTTTGATAAGCTTGATAAGCGAAGAAGTGCGGCCTTGCGGTTAACCGTAAGATGCAAAAATCCCCCCCGTGATTGCCAGCACAGAAATTCGCCGGCCCAACGGGCCAGAGGCGTGCTAAGATCTCTGGTGACTGGTTCTGAGTTTTCTGGTTCGCGCCCGCGGGGCCGCCCTGGGGATCCCCAGGCGAAAAGTACCCCGGCAAGGTCCGATCAGAAATGGTTTTGCTCCTGGTCGCTGCCATCGGGCCCCCCCAAAGAACCCCAACGCCACCATCATCATCATCATCATCATCATCATCATCATCATCATCATCAGCATCATCAGCATCATCAGCATCATCATCATCATCATCGTCATCATCATCATCATCAGCATCATCATCGTCACAACCATAATCTCCGCAGCAAAACATAACAACACATACCATGTTATGGCATGTCATATAACACACCATAGCATACCACATCATGTCATAACAAAGCATCGCGTACCATAACACACCATACCATAACACAGCATGCGATACCAACCATACCATGCTTTACTATTACCTGCCACGCATAGCAATATACAATTACATACTGTAGCATAGCATACCATATCATAGCAACACATGGCTTCCCATGGTGACATACCATAACATGAGAAGGAAGAGGAGGAGGGAGGTGGAAGTGAGTGCTCGGAGCTGTCGGAGAAATTATTCACTGCGTGAAATTCCCCATGTGTGCACCTATTAGCATGGACCTGTCCGCCGTGAATGTCTAGGAGCAAGAGATTTGAATATAAACGGGCTTGGGTATTGACGGTCTGGGATAGAATCTAACTGTGAATGAGTTGGAGTGAGAATGAGTCTGTAGTACGAGCGCGTCTCTGCGCATGAGCTTGGGGCCTGGGGCCTCCTGAAACTTCCTGAGGCTTCCTGGGGATTCCTGGAGCCTCTTGGGGCATCCTGTGGCCTCTTAGGGCCTCCTGGGGCCTCCTGAGGCCTCCGGGGGCCTCTTAGGGGGTTCCTGGGGCTCCTGGGACTCCTGGAGCCTCCTGGAGCCTCTTGGGGCCTCCTGGTGAGGATTCGTGCCCCAGGAGAGGCCCAGTCTATAGGAACAGACGTAAAACACGTCGGATTGGAGCCACATGATAAGGGCAATATCTAGGAACACGTGTAAAACACCAAGGGCTCGTGCACCAGGGGAGGCCCAATCTGTAGAAACATACCTAAAACACTTAGGATTGTATACACAGGAAAAGGACAATATATAGAAACATACGTGAAACATAAAGGGTTAGTGTTCCAGGCGAGGCCCAAACTGTAGGAGCATACGTAAGCGCACACGGGATTGGAGCCACTCATGTTGCCTTCTGAAGCCTCCTGCTCCTGGGGCCTCTTGGGGCATCCTGGTGCCTTCCAGAGCCTCCTGGTGCCTCCTGGCGCTTCCTGTCGCCTCCTGGGGCCTCCTGTTGCGTCCTGTGGCATCCTGGAGCATCCTGAAGCCTTCTGAAGCCTCCTGGGGCCTCCCTGAGCCTCTTGGGGCATCCCGTGCCTCTTGGGGCTTCCTGTGGCCTCCTGATGCCTCCTGGGACATCCTGTTGCCTCCTGGGGCCTCCTGGAACCTGCAGGGGCCTCCTGTGGCATCTTGGGGGGGTCCGTGCCGACTATTCTGGCCACCAAAACAAGCAAACCGATCGAAACATCCTCAACATCTGGCTCCCTTTGGGGGCGAACAGCAGCGCCTTGCTCGAGACATCCTCCAAATCGATCCCGAAAGCGGAAGATGTTGAGCCCCGAAACAGCACCCCGATCGAGACATCCCCGCAATTTAGGCGCGACTGGAGCAATGAGATACCCCCTGGCGGCTGCCCCTTGGGGGTGCTCAAACCCGCGCCTCATTCGAGACATCCTCAGAATATGCAGTGCAATTATCATCATCATGAAGATCATCATCATCATCAGCAGCATCATCACCACCACCAACGCCACCATGATCATCAGCATCATCATCACCATCCTCACCATAACATAACATAACCAACCATTACATACCATCGCATGATATAACATACCATTGGGCGGCATATCATACCATAACATGTCATACCACGACATACAAGAACAAGACATACCATACCATTGCATAACACACCATATCATCACACAACATAACATATATACATACAGATGCATAGCATTGAACATAGTAAGTAGCATCACGTGGCAAGGCAGAGGAGGAGGTGTGAGATGTCCCTTCTCGGCGCGGCCCGAAATTATTCACTGCGTAGAGCTTCTCATATGTGCATGTATGAGCATGGGCATGTCCGCTGTGAGCGTCTAGGCGCAAGAGTTGTTGAATATTCCCGGGCTTGAATATTGACGGTCTGGGAGTGACCATAACTATGAATGAGTTGGGGTGTGAATGAGTCTGCGGCGGGCAGCGGCGGCGGCGGCGGCGGCGCGGCGGCGGCGGCGGGCGGCGGCGGCGGCGGCGGAGGCGGCGGCGGATTGGCCCCCAGTAGCTGCCCATCCAAAGCCCCCAGTAGCTGCCCATCCAAAGACGACTGCTGCATATGCTTCGGCTCGGGTGCTACGTATGTGTTGGGAGGGCGGGTGGGAGTGAGCGAGACGGCTTGCGGGCCCGAAGGGCGTCTTGATCACTGCTCCCTATTAATAAACACCCCCTCCCCCAGGCGACTGGGGGCCAACCAGGGTCCATGCCGACCCCACCCCCACCACCCCTTGTAAAAACAATGCAAACACACACTCTGCCTCCAAATCCCACCAGCCCTTTGGGCGTGAGTGGTTTAGAGAGCTCTCTCTGTTCTCAACCCCCCTTCTTCCCCTTCGGGGAGGGGTTTACCCCTCCCCCGACCCCCTCCCCCTGGGCCTGGAGAGGTCCCTCCGCGGGTCGTCAGAGGGGTCATTTTCAACTCCTGGGAGGGCTAAACAAACGACACCCCTCACGAGGATTCTGGCCCCGACGGGGGGAGTCAGAAAAAATGCTCTCCCCTTCTTTGAAGCCAAAATCATTGATTGTACTACGGTTTTGGCCCCAATTTGGCCTTCTGAGGGGCAGCGCTAATTAAAGTTCCCCTCTTCTTTCAAGCCAAAATCATTGATGTTACGAAGGTTTTGGCCCCATGTTGCCCTTCTGAGGGGGCAGCGCTAATTAAAGCTCCCCTCTTCTTTGATCGATGTCCTCCAAGATGGCCCCAAGAAGCGCTCAGGAGGCACCAAGAGGCCCCAAGATGGCCCCAAGAGGCCCCCAGGAGGCCCCCAAGAGGCCTACAAGAGGCTCCCAAGATGCCCCCAAGAGGCCCCCAAGAGGCCCCAAGAGGCCCCCCCGAGGCACCCAAGACGCTCCTGGAAGCCCCTGGGGCCGCCAAGAGGCCCCCAAGACGCCCCAAACGGCCTCCAAGAGGCTCCCAAGAGGCCCGAAGAGGCTCCCCCAAGGCACCCAAGACGCTCCTAGAAGCCCCTGGGGCCGCCAAGAGGCCCCCAAGACGCCCCAAAAGGGGACGAGGTGCCCGAACGCCTCACGCCACGAGGAGCCCGAACGACTCACACCAGGACGAGGGGCCCGAACGACTCACACCACGAAGAGCCCGAACGACTCACACCAGAAGGAGGGGCCCGAACGACTCACACCAGGACGAGGCGCCCGAACGACTCACACCACGAGGAGCCCGAACGACTCACACCACGACGAGGGCCCCGAACGACTCACACCACGAGGAGCCCGAACGAGTCACACCAGGAGGAGGGGCCCGAACGACTCACACCAGGACGAGGGGCCCGAACAACTCACACCACGAGAAGCCCGAACGACTCACACCAGGACGAAGAGCCCGAACGACTCACACCACGAAGAGCCCGAACGACTCACACCAGGAAGAAGGGCCCGAACGACTCACACCAGGACGAGAAACCCCAAACGACTCAAACCACGAGGAGCACTTTCTCTCCCTCCTCCTCCGCCTCGTCCTTCTCCCGCTCCCACCACAAGGAGGATGTACAAGGAGGCGGGAGGAAGGAGTAACAGGGGAGATATGCGGGGCCAAGCGGACACACGCCTGAAAAACACAACTGTCGGCATGCTTCGCAAGAGTTGCTGTTGTGAGATGGGCTGGTGGGGATACGCGAAGCGTAAAGAATTCGGAACATGCGCAGCCAACCCGATGCGGCCCCCCCACCATCCCTGTCAAAACACAATGCAGAGTACACTTGGCGGCGGCGGCGGCTGCGGCTGCGGTGGCGGCAGCTGCGAAGGC